GTGCCTTGCCAAGAGTCCTGGCTGGCAAAGGAAAGGCACAGGCAGTGGGCCAGGCTCCCTTGGGCAGGATTGGCAGAGACTCTTTGGATGGCAGAAAGCACTTCCTCCCCTACAGCTGCTTTCTCAGCCCAGAGAAACAATGAGAAGGAGAAATTGGGGTGGGGGGGGGAGGAATGGGGTTGCTTTGGGGGTGGGGAGGCCCAAGGCTTTGGGGTGAACAGCCCTTCTAGCCTATCTTGGGTGGTCCCAGCCTTCCTCTGGCCCCTCCTCTCGCTCCCTGGCTTCTTGCCCTCCGCCCAGGGCAAACGGCCCCACCTGCAGCGCTACCAATAATGCTCCTGGGATGGAGGTCCTGCCGCAGAGACTCTGCAGGGTCACTCCGGCCCTGGAGAAATCTGGACCAGGCCCCTCCGGGTTGGCTGCCCATGAGGGGGGTGTGTGTTTCCTGGAGGCCTTGGAAGCTCATTCTCAAACTCTGTGGAGAGTCTCAGTCCTCCAGGTCGTGATTGTCCCAAAGGGGCTTTTTTTTTCAGGCGGCAACTGAACTTTCTGGTTTTTTTCTTTTGAAGACGTTTCGCTTCTCACCCAAGAAGCTTCTTCAGCTCTGACTGGATGGAGGGGAATGGAAGGATTGATACTCCTTGCAGACAGCTGGTCATTTGCATCCTTTTCAAAAGAAAAACAAAAACAGAAAGTCCAGTTGCCTCCTGAAAAAGCACCTTTGGGACATCCATGACTGAGAATCTCTACAGACTTTTAGTTATACAATTTGGGAGGAACCCCCTTGGAATGGTGCGGGAGAAGGAATGGATTTCCAGAGGAAAAGTTGCAGACTACAGGAAGCATTTGCACCACTCAGGTGACCCTGAGGACACAGATAAACCTCCAAGTGGCCTCAACGACCCTCTCAAAGGATGCAAATGACCAGCTGTCTGCCAGGGGTATCAATCCCTCCATTCCTCACTATCCAGTCAGAACTGAAGAAACTTCCTGGATGAGAAGCGAAATGTCTTCAAAACAAAAAACAAGAAAGTCCAGTTGCTTCCTGAAAATAAAAAAAAAGCACCTTTGGGACACTCATTCTCAAACGTCCTTCTTCTCTGATGGGACTGGAAGAAAATGGCTGAACCAGAGGTGGCCTTCAGCAGGTTCTGACCGGTTCTGGAGAACCGGTAGCAGAAATTTTGAGTAGTCTGGAGAACCGGCCAATCCCGCCTCTGACTGGAGATTTTGCAGCCTCCTTCCCCTGCCACGCCTGCCAAGCCACGCCCACAGAACCGGTAGTAAAAAAAAATGAATCCCACCCCTGGGCTGAACCATCCCACCCGTAAAGGGGAAGGAAGAGGAGAGCTACGGCTATCCAAGGCCTGGTGGAAGGACCTATTTGAGCCCTTGGAGGGGCCTAGAGGGGCCCCTCGCTTACCGAATTAGGAGCCATGCCCATGTTGGCTTCGATGTAGGTCTCCGTCTTGGGCTCCACCGCCAGTTCAGCTTCCAGGATCTTCTCCACCGGCATGTCCTCGTTAGCACTGCTGGTGGATTCCACCTCGTTCTCATTGCGGTCTTTGCCCCGTTGCCGCTCCTCCTGGACAGCTGGAAGGGTCAAGGAAAATGGGGGGGGGGAGAATGTGTGTCAGTCTGCCCGCTTTGGATGCCGAAAGCTTTCACCGCAGGGGGCTTGGAAATGAGGTGGGCCACTTATGGTCTGTGGGTGTGGGCAGCAATGTACGGTACTGGTAGTCCTCATTTAGTGACACAATTGGGACTGGGCAACTCCGTCATTAAGCAAAGAAACTGGCAAGTAAAAGCACAGCTGCTTGTGCTTATTTTCCTTTCCTTAATTCAGCTTTACAGATTTGTAAAAGTTTTAAATGGAAGGACTGGTCATGAAATTTATTTATTTTTATCCATATCATAACTACAAGCGGTTGCTGAATGAAGCTGTCACTAAACGAGGACTACCTGGTCTTTCTGTTTGGAGGAAAGGTATGAAAAGATATACAAATGATTATCTTGGGGCTTAGGGGGTTTAAGGGAAATTACAGCCTTAAAAAACTTTTGGCAGCTAATTTTTCCGGGTTTTTTTTTGGGGGGGGAGGGTTAAGTGGGACCTTAACTCTCCCCTGCCCACCTCACCCAGAAGCTCCCTCCAGACACACCTCGGCTGGGCTGAAAACCCCTCGTGGCCCTCAGGCAGGACATAAAGAGACAAAACATGACCCCCCCCCCAAACCCGAGAGCTGCCCTCCCATGTTGCAGAATGACATGGAGTCGCCCGGGGCAGGAGCTGCCTTTCCGGGGCGAAGGCCCCGTTGGCCTAGACTTCAGGGAGCCCTGACTTTGTCCAGCATGTTGGACAGGCCCAGCAGGCGGTGGGAACCCCAGGCCTGGGTGCTTTGACCCTTGCAAGGGGCTCAGCCCAGGACCCCACCCCCACCCCCCCGTGAAAGCGGTTCGAAGCATGGAGAAGCTGTGGTGTGTTTCCATTGGGAAATGAGTGGGGTTTGTCCCTGATGGTGGGGGAGACGCCCACCCACCCTCCGGAGGTGGTGGAGGCGGAAGCACCCGGTGGGAGGTTTGCCCTGGCTGAGCTCCTGCCTTTTGGCTGTCCGTCTAGCTCGTTAAAATACACAGTCACAGGCCAAACACGCTGAAGCCTCACCATACATTGCACAGCAGCCGATAAAACTTATTCAGCCATAGACTAAAACACACGGGGGGAAACAATTAGCTCCAGAGATTTCTAATTGACACAGCAATGGTGCAAAATGTGGCTATTGCGCTAACTCTAAAGGCTTTTTGCTGAACTTGGTGGTTTAGTTGGCAGCTCACAATTGCCCGGCCAGAGGGGCCTGAGCAGCTTCCTTAGAGGGGCAATTAACCGGGTCCCTTCCGAGCTTGGCCAACAGCTCCCCAAGAGATCAGAGGAGAGCGACTTTCTGCGTCACCTGGACTCCATCTAGACACACACGGATGCGGCAGAAACGCAGCTGGCTTTCAGACGGACCCCTTCCTCGTCTCGCTAACCCTAAGGCAAGCCACCCTTCTTGGCTTTATCCTCTGCCACTCTGATTCTGCCCCCTCCCCAAATTGCAATCAGTTTAGTCAAGGATAGACCTGACTAAATTTGGTTCCTTTGTGCCAAGTCACCTACTGAGGGTTATTTTGGGTAAATTCTTCTTCTGGCATTTGCTGGGCACGGCCAGAACCCAGAACTGGAAGGCTGACATCCTGGTGACAAATGGGATAGAATTTTCCCTTCCCGGAATTACTCCTTTTCTTCAAAGGGTCAGGCATTTATCCTGCTGCAGGGAGGCCCAGGGCAACACCGTAAGATCTGTTCTTTGGCTTTGCTTTTCGTTTGCTGTGCTTGTGTTAAAGTACCCATCTCTCTAAAGCAGACGACAAAACCCCCAAATCCAGTTTTCAGGGTGAAAAGACAGCATTTTCCCCTCTCCTCCTGTTTTCAGCCACCATCCGACAACGAAAAACTGCACGGCCCGGCACTGAATTGGCCAAGCTTTGCAGCAACTCAAATTTGCTGCCAGTGGCCTGTTTTGGTGCCACCCCTTCCTTGGTGGCCCTTCTGCCCCGCCAGCCCTCCTTCTAAGTGGCCCACCATTTCCTCCGTGCGTGACGCTCACTGCTGAGACACAACAAAGACCCGAAGTCCAGCCCAGAACTTCACACCCGCCCAGGTCTTTGGGGAACGGCTGCCAGGGATGCTGCTGCCAATGGCCGGCCTGCCTGCCGGCCTGCTACAGCCTCCCTTGCCGCACACAGGGAACCCCGCCCGCCGGACACCAAGTCAGAAAGCCTTCAGCAGAAAGGGAGAGGAGGGGACGCTGCCCGCCACCTGTTCCCAGCCCTGCTGTAATGCTGAGCTAGACTGCCTTTGCGCATGAGCCCCACGGAACACCTGCCCGTGGATTCTCAGGCCCACAACTATCCGGTTAACGGCATGAGTGCAGCGATCGCCAATGCGCCATTTCCCAAATCCTCGGGGCTGCCACAGAACGGTTCACTGTTCACTAAAGGGACCTGTGAAGTTCTGAGTTTGCTGCGGCCCCTCGGACATCGCAAGGCAGAGTTTGGAAACGGCTAAGGGCCGCGTGGACCGAGAACGTCTGCCCGAATCCTCCCGCTTCAGCCGCCTGTTGCATTAGCAGTGCAAGCTCTGGCTTCAAGGATCCTCCAGCCGCCACCTGCCTTGGAAGCAACGGCCAGCAGGCGATGCAGTCATGCAGATGCTGAGCCTTCCTCAGCCTGCTGCCTTGCGTCGCTTTGATTGTCTCCAGGGCATGAAAAGCTTGCCTGGTGCAATGTGGGACTGGCCCTGCGAGAGAGCCACGTTCCAGCCCACCACAAGCCACAGAAAGCCACTTGCTCCCTTGTGGCCCTGCTGCATCCCTTCCCCGGGCAGGGCAACCTGCACCAAGGGTTTGCCTCTTCTTTTACCCTGCTGCTCCTCTGGGATTTGGCCCTCCGTGTCTCTTCGGCATGTGTGTGTGTGTGTCTGTGTGTTCCTTTCCTGGCCAGAGAAATCTGCCCCTGCAGAGCGAAAGGGTCTCGGCCGATTCTGGGAGGACTCAGCCTCTCCAGGTCACCCTCTGGGGACACCAAGAGATTTTTTTGCTGCTTAACAGCTGGTCTAGTAAGATTGAAATGGGAGTACCTGGTTGCTCCTGCCTTCCAGGGAGTCTTGTGGGTCGGGATGGATGGTGCTCCATCCCTGCAATAGAGTAGAGATTTGGAAATGAAACATCATTAGAAGAGAGGCAGCAGCCGCTGCTGTGCATGTTTCAGTCATTAAATTGCTGCTGCTCCCCAAATACATGGCACCTGTACATTTCCCCAGAGAGAAAGCCGGGGGTTGTGTGGCGGGGGCGGTATTTCTGGCCCAGTTTTTCAAGGTGTTCTTCTCCCTTAGCCCTCTTAGAGGAAATCTTTGTGGCCAGAGGGCAACGGGTCCTCCCAGCCCCCCTTTTTCAGGCTCCCGTCTACAGGCAAGGCCTTTGCTGGGAGGAGGGGGGGGGGATGAGAGGAAGTGGGAGGGGGCCCCTTTTAACCTGCTGGAACACCTCCTTTTAATAACCCCGTAATCCCTTGCCTTGGGGTGGAGTCTGGGCAACTGAATGGGGCTGAGTGTTTACTGGCCGGATGCCCTTCCTGTCGCCAATGCGGAGTTTTTGTTCAGCAGATATATATGGAGAGAAATATCTGCCTCTACCTAGGATTGAACTCACAGCCTCCTGAACTGAGGTGGGAGCTCCACCCCCCTAGGCCACCACACCACTCCTCTCCTAAGCTGCTGGGACTCAGGGAGGAAAATGAAGAGCAGGCATTACTGGCTACTTCTTCCCATTGAAGCAGGACCAGCAACGCTCACGGCCTCCCCCTGGCTTCTCCGGCTTCCTTTACACAGAGAGTAAGTCTGAACGGCTCTGATTTGGAGCCCTTTTTGGGGCGCACTGGCTAAAGGGTAGCATTGCAGGTGACTCTGCCCACAGACAGGAGTTCAATCCTGACTGGCTCCAGGTTGACTCAGCCTCCCGTCCTTCCCAGGTGGGTCAAATGAGGGGCCCGGATTGTTGGGGGGCAAGAGGCTGACTCTGTCAACCGCTTAGAGAGGGCTATGAAAGCGCTGGGAAGCGGTATAGAAGTCGAAGGGCGATGGCTATTTTGTTCCCCAGTGGATCTTTCGGGAAGCCTGCTGGGCTGGAGAGAGGCTGCAAACACATTCCAGGAATGCTGAGCCTTTCTTAGCATGGGAGGGGGCGAAGGGGCTGAGCGCCTCTGGCCACGGCCCCCTGCCCCTCCCAAGCCAAAGGGAGACGTCCCTGGGAAAACGAGGTGGCCCTCCTGGCACTATGGTGGGGCAGGACAATCCCCAGGGGGGTCCCCAATGTGCTGCCCTAGCTTGAGATCAAATAAAACTCGTTGCTCTAGAATAGGGGCCAGCTTGGGCCCAGCCAAAGGAAGGACCCCGGCAGGTGGATGGCCTCGGACTCCGAAGTGTCCCCCCCCCCCAGTCTGGTGCCCAGAGTTTATGGCGGGTTGAAGGAGCCCCTCCAAAGCAGAGCAGCCGAGCTCTGAGGTGGCATCGGGGAGCCTTCCCGCCTAGCAGGAGAGGTCTGCCCCCCAAGAGGGCAGCAGCGTCTGGCATAAACAGCAGCCGCGCCCCACACCCCATCCCAGGACTTCTTCCCGTGGTGTAAAGCAGGCCTTGGATCAGGTCAAGCTCGCTCCTAGAAGAGGACCGTGCCCTTGTTTCTGTGCGCTGGGTGGGTGCCTCTCGGCTGCCTGCCTGCCTGCCTTGAAAATCAGGCCGTTTCTCGTTCTTTCCGAGTTCTCAGATTGAGCAACAGTCTCTCTGTGGATTCCCTGTTTCACAAACATCGACCACATGGAAGCCACAACCATTTCCTGGCCTCGGAAGGCGCATGACTCTCATCTGCAGAGCAAAGCCTACGGCGGCCGTTCACACACACACACACACACATTCCAGAGGAGAAAAACCAGCGTTCTCAGCTCAGCTCCAGATCGTCGATTAGGTTCTTCTACGGATAAGAATATTTAATGTTTCGGGGTTGTTTCTTCTGAGAAAAGCTCTGTTTGTTTATCGAGATCAGAAATTGTATACTAGGGAAACGAAGAACTTTTTTTGCCTGGCTAAAAAAACCATCCTCGAATCGAGAGGGGACTTTTTCCCTGTTATTTTTTTCAGGGTTCTTCAGCCTTTGCTGTATCCAACACAGGTAAATCCTCAGCTCACCCTTGCAAATGTATTTCCTGCCCGCAGCTACAAGAGCCTCAAGAACTGATGGTTTATGCCCCCCCCCCCCAAAGCACTTCCAGTCATTATAAAACATCGCTGGCCACCCCGTCACATGAACGCATTTCAAGTGCTTGGCAAACTATTCTGATTTACAGCCCAAGCGCCCTGCCATCAGTCACGGGCTGGCCGTTTGCAGCTTTCTCTGCAGGGTTCCCCCGAAAGTCAATGAGGAAGCCAGCAGGAAAGGTTGCAAGTGGAGGGGAGGTTTGGACGGGAGGTCTGTTCTTGCAGGGGGGCAAGGAAGGATTTCCCTTCTGCTCCGGGCATGCGCGCACCCTCCCACGCACTGGGG